TTCCACATTCATGAGCGCCTCAGAGTAGATAGTATTTCTGAATAACATCTCAGAAGACCAGAGCTGAGTAAATCTTTCCCTGTATTTATGATCTGTACTGTTGCACGGGATGAACAAAAAAGTGACATTTCTTCCTTTCTTGGTGTTCCAATACATACAGTATGATGTGAATAAAATTAATCTTATTTACCAAATTAGAAAAGTGCTTGAATTTTTATGCGTAGTTATGTGAAAGCAGAAAAATGAGAGGTGAGTTAAAAGATTGTTATCATCATCCAAGAAATCGGTTTATAAATGAAAGGTGATCAGCAACAATTCAAAGGGCAAGAGATGGAAAGATTAATCCCCAGTAACAAGTGCAGTTTCTTGTGAATGAAAGTACAAATTACAAGTGACCAGGTGCCTCTGACACACACAGTGTAGAAGTACATGGACTTGTACACTTGAGAGAGCAACAGCTTGGAGGTGAGAAAGCTCACACATTTTAACTGAGGCGGCATAGCAGAGGGAAATAATGGGGCTGCATGGGCCAAATGGCACTGCATAGCAAGAAGCAGCATACAAACCTGGAAGGGTTTTCTGCTGAGCTAAAGCCAACACTTGCGATGCTGTCAAATGCAGACAGACATCTTAAAGTGTAAAAGAATGCCCACAGAATACATACAGCGGAGTTCGTATTTACCCTTTTTAGCATGTAAAACATTTCTTTCTAAATAATATGACTAATCTACTGCTACAGTAAAATCCTAATCTAGTTAAAATTTGAGAGACCATTACAAAGAAAAAGAACCTAAGGTGCTATAAGAGGACTTTCTAGTGATCATGAAGCGAGCACTTAAAAAATAACTTCAGCTATATGTTCTTATAATATATGATGAATAACAATAGATTATCAATCTAAATCAGGCCTAAATCCTGCCCCTAATATAAAAGAACAACTACTGAAATTATTTCTGAAAGGCATAAATGGCCTTTATGAAATTATACGGATATATTTCTGCTCATAAGAGATGAGCTATCAAGAGCACCAGAAAAATGTAAGACTCAACAGAAGTTCTGTAGGCTAGATACTGATTTACTGACAGCAGAGAGACTGATATCAACAGTATCCCCAAGAAGTATGTAGGTGTTGCATCATTGTAATTTCACAGAAATCTGGATCTTCATCCAGAAGCAGAAGCTTAGGAATAGGTCAGGAAAGCGCACACAAAATGAGACCAGTGCAGGATAAATACACCACTGAGCTATAGTCCAGCTGTCTCTCACAAACCCAAACTAACAGTACTAAAATTAGAAAAGATCAGTTTCTTTCTTGTTATTTTCTACAGAAGAATACAACCTCCACACGTTTTCCCTGCTCATGATGAAACTCAGGTCAGCTTTCTTACCCCTCCTTGCATGTTCTCTAGCTGTGAAGAAAGGATTAGCCATAGATAATATGTGTTCCAGGTCACATGAACCAAGTGCTAGAAACATTTTTTGAGCTAGAAGCTTTGTATCTGCCATTTCCTTGTGATCCCATTTTCTACAAGAGATAGATTTGTTTTGACAGCAAAGCACAAGGGAGACAATTTTAAAGTTATATTCCTATTTATTGCTTGAATTTAGTTACACTTCAGGCTTTATCACAATTTTGTTCTTTTACTCTATGCAATTTTGCAGGAATTGTTGTGCAGTGTCTAAGATCCCATTTTAACAGAATCTCTCTTGAACACAAAGGCTAAAGCAATACTCTGGATCTAAACATTGCACTCTAGATGGCTGCGATCACTATTGCATCAGAATAAGGAAATGGTTAAATACAGCTGCAGTGTCACATCACTACTTATTTGGGTAGCTATGCTTCAAAGCAAAAACATACAGAAGGGTTGCACATCTATCTGTCCTTTCCCTTGGCTTTGAACACGTTGAGATGCGGTCCCTTCAAATCTTGCCTACTGGAGCAACGTAATCGCTCATTGTCATGAGTAACATGAATTTCACAAATAACTATTGTGTAAGAAATTAGTAACTAGATTAGTTTCAAGCAACCTCCTTTTTTGTTACCTTTTGATATTCACAGGTAATGAATCTCTGATCCAGTTCTCTTAGCGTTCCCCATTCAGTGTTGTTCCCTGAACTGGGCAATTTTCATGGCCACAGCTGACTGACAACAAAGCTGAAAGGCAGACCTGTCACAGGCGACTGTTTCTTGAAACAAGAGATCACAAATAGTTTTTACTATATTGCCCCTTCCATATGTGCATTTGGGCTGCTTTCTTATTTTGCTAGTTTTTCTATGCTCCCTTGTCAGCAGCAAGTCTTAAATGAAAAGGAAGGAAATCTAGAGACCAAATTCCTATGCATTTCCATTCCCTCTCAAAGAAAGGAGGGAAGGGCGTAGGCTGGCAGAAGAAAAACCATGCATAAATGAGGCTTGTTAAGATCACATTTTAACAAAAAAAGGTTTTTCTGGGTGGCGGTGCGTGCATCTGCAGCATCTCATGGGAAAATGTTTGAGTACTTTGAGATCTTGGAGAGTTTAGTAGTGGCTGCTTTTAACAATATCTACTTTAATAAAAAAAAAAAAAATATGTGCAAGAAACAATAGGAAAAGCCAGTCTCTTTGAATAACTTAAGAACTTCCCACAAATCAAGCAGTTGTAGGTACTATACATTTTATTATAAAGTTTGAATATTAGGAGGATCTGGGCCTTCATTTCAATTACTTATTCTCTTGCCTCCAATCTATCCTTATCCTTAAGCCAACGATGAAAGCACAAGTTTTATGTATAAAATTTGTACAGTTACAGTTACCTACAGTCAGTATCAAGTCAGAATTATGCATATCCAAACCATGTAGATTTTTTTCACTAAAGAAAAGGAAATAAGTTTATAAGCAGAGATTGCATAAAAGTCTCTTCTTTTGCCTTCACTACCTTGAATGTATTAGCGTACGCCTGTAAACACACACACAATTTGAATAATACATAATCATAATCCTTGAAAGAATGATGTTACAAATAATTCTAAAAACAATACTTCCATGAAAGACTTCCAATCTTCATAAGATTTCCCTAAATTTACATGAGGGAGGAGTCCAGACGTTAAGCATATCAAATAATGTTTTCATAAAACTCTGCTTTGAATCTCTGTGGCTCAGCATCCAAATCCTTCACAGGATAATCCACCTTCTTAAGGTCACCAGATTGGTGCAAAAATTCTGTAGTTGGCAAGGTTCAAATCTCATACAGCCTCAGTTCTCTTCTTCACTGTGTGCCTTCAGACTAAAAACCGGGCAAAACTTCTAGGGTAGTCTTTTTTTCTTAAAACATCCTCCAGGGAATAGATGGGTTTCTCCCCAGCTAATTCCTTTCCTAACTCTGCTCATCATTAACTACCTTTTTTCCTTCCTTTGAAGACCTACTGTTCAATTATAAAGGGAACAAACAATTCCTGTGGATGCCTAACCATGCCATCTTCAACAGAAATTCCACAGTGACCTCACCATAACGCACATCAGGGTGACTCTTGCCCACTCAGACTATAAACACTCACATAATTCAGCAAGTTTAAAAGTACAATCCATACCCCAACCAGAAACTGTATGTCCTCTACCTTGTTCTTTTGTTGATTTATGCCAATTTAACACCCCACTTTAAGTGCAATTGTTGCTATCATTGGTCAAGGGTTTCATCAGTTTCACGTAGGTAGGAAGCTTGGCAAAACAGCATCTGGCAGAAAGGCCTTTTTACCCAGTTTTCAGTGTTTGTGCAGGGCAGTAGATACATAAGATTGCGCTGGCCTTTTTCACCATCTAGAAAATATATCAACCACACAATCAGATAAAGCCATTCAAGGAGAAGGCTGTTTGATTCATAAAAGGAAATACTTCAAAGGAAAATTCATTTGCTTCTTAGAGGTCATTAATTCTACTAAAGTCAGTGGGCAATGAAGAGGTGAAGAGATTAAAACAAGACATTATGGAATCATAAAGATTGGAAAAGATGACTAAAATCATATAGTCCAAAAATCAACACATCACCACCATGTCCACTAACTCATGTCCCTCAGAGCCACATCTCAAACACCCCCAGGGTCAGTAACTGCCATCTCCCCAAGCAGCCTGTTTCAATGCCTCACCACTCTTTCTGAGATGTTTCCAAATATCCAACCTGATATTCATCCTCCCCTGGTGCAACTTTAGGCCATTATCTCTCGCGCTATCGTAAAGACAGGTCTGCCAAACAACCCCTACAGCCCATTACTATGGAGTACTCCACTCCAAGCATCATTCAGTGAAGCCATCCCACCTTGTTTGCAAGGCCTAGATGAACAAATCTCCCCACTCTCCACAGATACAATCCGTGTAAGGAGGAGTACTGGTGCTGAAGCACACATGGCTTCTAGGACAGAGAGCAGAGCACTTGCTGAACTGTGACAATCTCCAGGTGGGTAAAAGCATTTGTTCGGTAAACTTTAAATTCCTCAGAGGAACCAAGAAATGATGCTTCCTGCTACTCCAAATTATATTCTAGGACTTTTTTTTTCCCCCCCTATCTTAAGAGCTCTGAATATGTTTTGTTCATCAGATGGATCATCTGGTCATAAGGTTCTGCCCTCTGAGCAGAATCAGGCATTGTCCAGCTCCTGGCTAAGGGAAAAAAGTGATCTCAAGCTACAGGAAAATAAAAGGTATCAAGGGATATAGCAAGGAAGTAAATCATCATTAAGACATAAATCAAGTGTTTTGGAGCTGGAGTAATCTTTCATGCCTTTGGTTTCAACTCTTCTTCAAGCATCTTAACATGGAACGGTGGTGCCCTTGCTGTAACCAGGCTGTTAACAGAGCCTTGCAGAGCTGTCAGCAAAGCAACACAGTGATGCTCCAGCTGCTTCTCAGTTGAGGTTTTTAAGAGACGCCACCCACTCTCGGGAAGGGTATCAGTCTTCATACATTGAGAGCCAGACGATCCCACTTCAGGGACCATGTCCTATACTCTTCACAGTCTGTGGTATTCTTGGCAGGATATTTTCTTATTGGAGGTGTTGGTGGCCAGAAATCAAAACACTGTAATGGACTGAGAATAAGAAATGTTGCAATGCTTTTTAATAATTGCTTGGGTCGTTTTCAACAGCAGCAACTTAAAGGCATACTTTAAGATAACCAATTTATTCTTAAAGTCTGACAGACTTCCTAGTATTCTTAGAACACGTGCAGATTGCAGTCTTCCACTTCTCTTTGTTCTGCATTACCAAAGGCTTGAAAAGTTAAAAGACTTTCACCCATTTAAGAAAAGACAGATATGTACGTTGCAGAACTGAATTTGTGGCCTTTCCATTTCTCATAGAAGATCACCATTGTTTTAGGAGCTGGACTCTATGATCATTACATGTCCCTTCCAACTCATGACATTCAGTGATTCTAGGAACAGGTTGCTTTATGCCTGAAGTTAAGCATACATTACATCCAGAACATCACTGCAGGGGAAGAAAAAAATTCACCAGGACAGAGAGTGTAAGAGACCAAATACCGCTAAGCATCAAGCATGAGTAAGCTTTAATATTTAGGAGAATGTGGAAGGGAAGAGATCCCTATGGAGCTGCATCTCATAGAATAGGTTGTGGTCTCCAGTAAGATAAAAGTTGCCTATCGCTTTTAGCAAAATCCGTCTTCTTTTTACTGACTTCTAAGGAAAGGGGCAGAAACAGGGCAGACTCCTTTTGAGAAAGCATGCTTTCCAGAAAGATTTCCTTGTTCCTCTCCCTGCACTACAGGTGTGTGTGCACAAAACCACTGTAAGTCTCACCTTCTAACTAGGAGGAACTTACTGCAAACCAAAGGGAAAGGCCAACTAGGGGGAAAAAAAGATGAGAAGACTTATCCTCTTATTCAAGCCGCTAAGCATGTCAGCATACTCACTAGAAAGCACTCCTCTGCTCTCATGTCTTTTAGAAGGCGGATTCTATGTTTGGCACTCTTAATGATGTAAACTCCTCTGCTGGAAAACACATTCCATAGGCAGGTTACAGAGTACTGCAAGGGCAAAGGGAACATCACAAGCAGAGTGCAGGCTGGCGTGAAGAAGATCTCGGTATTTGCTCTGCGCTCCTTCCTGTCCATCTCCTGCAGGAGGTAGGACAAGGCACTTAACCTTCCTATACTCACTCTCTCTCTCCCTCTCTCTCTCTCCCTCTCTCTTTCTCTCGTTGTGGTTCTTTTTGCACGTGTGTCTGTTTTGCCTTTTGCTTTTTGTTGTTTTTTTTTGTTTGTTTGTTTGTTTGTTTTTAAAGCAGAGTATAACATTAAGCTCTAACATTGAAGATTGGAGTTTAAAGGGCTTTAGCGTTAGGTTATATAAAAACACAAGTCAGAAAGTCTGACCGTTAGCCATCATTTACTAATATGCATTTATTCTGTCCAGAGAGGGACAGTAATGCCAACAGATCCACATACCAGCTGACAGTAGTTTCATCCTTTTCAGTAAGATAGAGCAGAATAACAACATACTTAAAGAGAATTATCTGTCACTCACAGTATGAGTAACATTTGTACTGTCCGTGGTTGTGAAAGCAGAGAAGTAGAGAGATAACTGACAATAGATAGCCATTCTTCAGTTTACAAACTGAAATAAGTATTTTCAAGATGCTAGCAGCATCATGTAGCTTGCCTCAGAGAGCTAAGAGCGCTCAAATTTAAGGCCTTCACATTTGGCCATTACAGAATAGAAAACTGAATCACTTGAAATAACCAGCTATCACAATTAATGATATTTAGTAAGCCAGAGATCAAAAAGTTGAGAACAGGATCATTATTGATGTTGGGAAAATAAGTCTTCTTATTTCTTATATAGCAATGAATAAAAGCACTACTCCTAGAAAAAAGACTGTTTTGAAGTGAAATATTGAGCAAGTAGTTATGTTCTCACTGCACAGACATGTTTGTTTACATTAACTGCAAGAAACAGAGTACTACACTTCATTGTTGCTTTAGGTTTCTGTAAATCAATGCTGCAAAATTAAGTTTGTCCCATAATGAACTAGATGTCATTTGGCACTTTGTTTCTTAGAGAATTTGCCAAGCAATGGCACACCTCCAGAGAGCATATCCAGAGCTTCTGATCACAGGTCTGCACCTTGAATCCTACACAGCAGCTGAAGGCATTCCATTTGGGCTCCACATTCCCAGGGTATTCTTACAGCACTGGTATTACTGGGTGATGCTAACTTCAGCTCAGCTGAATCAACCACAGGGGAACCATTAACTCCTCTCCTTGCCACTATAGGAATTGAACATACTTTTATTGCATTTTTGAAGCAATATAAAAATATTAATGAGTCCAGCAGAGCAGAACAGAATCAAAAAACTTTCATGCAGAACACTTGGGAGGAACTGAGACTGAGAACAAGGTTGTAATAGTCACCTGCTTCATTTAGAGAGGCCCTAAAACAAATCAAGTGCTGGACTGCTGTGCCCTGAGGATGGTCTGGATGCTGCCTTGCTGTAAAGCTCATTCTTCCCAATCAGAGTAGCAGTGGATATCATTGTAATTTATAGTGGCTGGCAGACTCCATGGGAAGGAGAAGGGAACACTAAATCTCTGACCTAGACTCTCACATAAACTTACCCTTCCCATTAATTAAGGTACTAGCTTGTAGCTGGCACACCCCCATTTTTTAAGGCTTGAGAGACAAGAAGGGTCCTTTTAGACAAGGCCAGCACAGCAGTAGCAAGCTTCACCGCAGCTATTGAGTAAGCCCTTCATCTGTATGTTACACAGCACATACATCTGGTCAGATAATTTTATGTCAGCAGTAATCTATTACATCACTCCAAATCTAACTATAAGACAGGGAAAACAACTAAGATTGGAGGGAGGGGGGTAGTTTTGTTTGGTTGGGTTTTTTTAAGCCTTTGTTCTTGAGCACAGGGCTGTTGAAGAATGCTGTGCTGGTCCAGAAAGCTCTGTAAGAACATCTACTGGCCCCATCTGCATTAGCCATAAATTCCAGCTATCCATAAACAAATTTGCTCCCACAAATAGAATCCATTTTCTTGTCTTTTTTTAAATCTCTGAATAAAAGAAAAAAATCTTTCTGCTTGGCTGCCAAAAATCTGTGAATAGCATAAGCCACTAAGAGTAGCTGTGAACTGAATCTTTCTTTCATCTGTAAAGTACTTTCAAGCCTCCACTTCCTTAAGCATCATTTCAACAGGTTGGCTGGTATAGGTCATTCTTCCTTCCCTGTCGTAGCTTGGCTTTTGCTGTTCGAATGACTGTCTTCCCCCTGAAGGAGTTTGCTTTCAGCTGGTCTCTGTGGAGCAATGTGCCAACCAGGAAAGCAGACCGTGAGCTCACATTGTTCTATGCACTCAGTGCTCTCTCTGACCAATTGCTACCACCTCCTGCCATGGCAGAGCACACGGTGGTAATATGTAAATATCAAAAAGAATGGAAAAGTATCTTTCTTGCTATCAGAACTTTAATAATACACTTTGCTGTACTGCTATATTTATAGAAGGTTTGAATATCTCAGACTGTTATCAGCTGAAAACTGTTTCTTTACGGAGTACACTTTTTTCAAATAGCCAAAATAGTCTTCTGGACCAAGCTTCATAGACTGTTAATAGAAATCAATCAAACAGATTTGCAGGTTCAGCTCTATCAAAACCATCCTAAAAGATGCAATTTCTTTTTTCAGAAAAAAACAAACAAACATAAGCTAACCCTTTCCTGCAACTAAAAACTACAGTTACATTCAATCTGAAGACCATCCATAAGAACGGATGGCCAACTGTCATATTTGCCTTCTAGTAAACACAGATTTTATAGAACCTGATCTTCTATTTCAAAAAAAAAAAAAAAAAAAAAACAAAAAAAAAAAACACAAACCAGGGACATTTTCCCTTACATTACTCTGAGATATTTAAGTTTGAAAAGGTATTTGTGACAAGCACCAATGGTTTTCTGGAACTAGTGCACAATGCATCAAGCAAAGAATAGCATTTCTATGGCAACTGTCTCATCACATTTCAGAGATGGAAGAACAAGAAGCACTCTGCTTCTATGTTTTCAGTTTCCTTAGTAGTATCTTGTCGTTCCATTCACCTAGAACTTCATAACCAAGGTAGGAGAAGGACACTTCAGTTGAGCTCTGTAGAAGTTGTCAAGTGCTGGGCTATTTGCTCATTAAAGCTCTGAACCAACAGTGCCACAAGATCAGTGTTGTTTCTGTCTTTGCTACAGCCAGCTATAACTTTAAGAGCTTGCCATTTGCCTAGGACATCTGGCTGCCAAGGATAACAAACTGAACACAGCCCACTTTATCTGTGCTGGAAGCGTTTCTAACAAACCCAGTCACAGCAACTTTAGGCTGGCATCTCCATCAACTGAGAAGAAAAAGTCTGGTACATACAACTTATACCAGCACAGCAGCTGCCATAGCCCCTGCCCTAATGAAAGCAGTCCAATTGTCCTCTGGCTTTCCAGCCTAACTCAGTTCCTCCCTCCCACACCTCCCCTTCACCCTCAAGGTAGCATTAGTCACATTTCTTCCTACGCTTCAGAGAAGATCCGAGCCAGCTATGTCATGCCATAAGCAGCTTGCTTACGGCAACCTTGAATCATACCTTTACCCCAAAGAATAGCATAAAGATATTGTTCACATTTGTTCTGTTCTTCTAATTGCTTCACTTCAGCGTGCCTCATGCAGAAAATGAGGTGTGAGACCTGGAGTCAGACAACCATGAAAGACCGAGGAACAGCAATAGCAGTGAGAATGGCCTTTGTGCTGCTGGCCTGCTTATTTGTACCTGCTCACTCAGACTGCTGTGATCTGAATGCAGAGTCAAGCTGCTCAATTTTAAAAATTGAGGAAGAGACAACATTTATTTTTTAGCAAGCAAAGCAGCTTTTGTATTCTGGAGAGACCTGAAAACCTCTCTTCTGTTTCTTTTTCTTCCTCAAATGGCTACCTTAATGTCCCTTAGATAGAAAAAAAAATAGCAATTTTTTTGGGTAAGGACTATAAACAGATTCAACTCATTTTGCACCTCAAACTAGATATCACAGAAAAGAGCACCATTCAACTGTTTCAGCTTTCAACATCTTTCTTGATAAATGTTTAAACTTTTACTGTGTTAAAGACTGAAATTTATCAGTCACAACCCAAATTTCTTTATGCTTTGTTCAAAACATAAAATATGTAATTTCATGTGTTAAGGAGCCGTTGCAAATTTTTCACAGAAGAAATAATTTCTGCCTTATTTCATTTTTCTTTTGTTCAAGTTCTGAGTAGTGTCAGCATGCTCAGGCTTAGAAATATTGTACTGGCATGCTCTAAAACTTAATGCGCATCGCAATGGACTTTGCTTCCAACACTTCCTTCCCTCCCCCAACCACACTATATAGTCAGAAGAGCCCAGAGCAAAACTGTGCTTAGGAGAAACTGATAGTATTTCCTAGGTAAAATTTCTTTCTAGTCCTAATGAGGATGATTCTTCAAGATACAGGGTTAGTTCTTCTATACTGCAAGCAGGATCATGTACATGAAGATGGTATTTTGGTACTTGAGCTTACTCGGCTTATTACTGAAAAGGTAATTTTAAAATAAGTTATTCCAAACATTTTCATGATACTTAACTGATTGCTAAAAATCAGTTAAGTCCAGCAAATTAATTAAAAGAAAAAAAACTTCTTCAAGCCTGTAAAACATACATACTTAATAAATTTATCTCTTCATTTGTACTTAAGGATAACTTGCACCATATATGTACACAAAGCGTTCCCAATAATCTCACTTTCCCTATCATGTAACATCAGCTATAAGCTTATGTTCATTACATTAATAAGATTGTCCATACTTTAATACTTTCCAACAAAAATTAATGTAGTCAGTCTGCCTTTCTAAAAACAGTTATATGTATTACAAAAACACATTAAGCAAATATTTATTGTAGCATTTCTACTGTTTCATGCTGTAGCATTATGTTAATCAGTAGCTGTCTTATATAAATGAGTTTTGTAGGATTCAAAATAGAACAAATAAGATAATGGAATAATTGGTATTCTGTTAACAAATTAGTGTTAGTACTGCAGAAAACCTTGCTTACTCACCCTCCACTGCAGCATGTCAGACATGATTTAGGGACCAGAAGAGTTGAAGATGATAAAGATCCTCTCTGGGCCTTAAATTCGTCAGGGTTTCATAGAAAGTGAATACAAGATCGACCCTCTTCTTGTGTAGTTATACATCACCCACTTAATTATTGGCTCACTGTGACAGTCAGCTCCAAGATTACATAAAAAAATCTGGACAGTTCAAGGGAGATTCAAACAAGGAACCATTCTCAGGTGCAGCAGGAAGGGCAGAGATGTTTCAAAATATGAAGCTTCCTATGTTTCAGGGTACAAAAGTCCTAGAAATCCCTCACAACCATTTTTAAACGTAGAGTAACTGCACAGTAACTACCATAGTTCTCCTTCCTATACACGTCATCACTGCAGTGGAGGAGCTTGGAAACATGGTACAGTATTTGAGGGCCTTATTAAGAAGATAAACATATTCAAGTTATTACTTGAAAAGTCAGAAGTCTTTTGCTTGCCAGGATTATCAAACATGACAACATGCAGTAAATACTATGTGTCTTCTATTAAAACAATGCTTCCCACTAGTTTAATAATTACACCTTTAAATCCCAATCTCTAAACCAAAAGAATAAGCCAAAAGTACAGCAATTTGGCAGACAACATTTTGAGATTGTGCAGCTGCATACAAAAAACAGCACTAATGTGATGATGAGAAAGGTGACAATTTGGTCTTTTCTAAGCAGATGTTTTTTCCAACAACCCCCTTTCCAGTGGGAAAATGGTATTATAATCTTGAATCTGCAAAGAAGAATCTTTAAACCAGTTCAAATGGACAGTTCCTGCTGATAAAGTTTTAAAATATTTCTGCATGAATTAAGTATAAATTTACAGAAACCAGTGGCTGATCTAATACATTTTATACTTTTTTAAGAAAACAAGTATAGCTGAAGTGAAAATACCAAGAAGCCAGCTAGCTGCATATGACACACACACAAAAAAAAAAAACTTTCTATGATTAATTTAAAAAAAAAAAAAGTAAAGAACAAACAAATGCTACTTCAAATAAATACAGTACAGATTAAGCAATAAAAACCTATGAAACCTATTGCGAGTACCAGCAAGTTAAATAAGTTAACATGTAAAAAGAGAGGGAAAGACACAGTGTACAAGCTTCTCATTACTGAGCCTGCACCAGCACCAGGCAGAACTGCCTATTTTAAAATAATGGTCCAAAGGACCTTCTCCAAGATATCCATGTGTTTACTTAACAGGGAGGACGCAAAAATTATTTAAAGTAACTCCTAAGAGTATCAGTGTTGGAAAAGCAATATAACCAAATCCACATTGCGAGGATAACACTGAGCCCAACACATCACAGAATCAGACCTAGCTCACGTCCAGAAGATGTTAATAATAGACTGCTATACATACAAACTCCTATTTTTCAAGTTAATAGACATAAATACAGTGTTTGCATCTATGTGTACCTCAAAGTTGCAGACAAACGCTTCATAGTTAAAGTTTCTGCCACAAAATTATAGAATGGCCTGGGTTGAAAAGTGCCTCAAAGATAACCCAGCTTCAATCTCCCTGCCATGGGCAGGGTTGCCAACCACTAGACCAGGCCGCCCAGAGCCACATCTCCCTGGTCTCCCTAGTGATCCCCAATACTCACACATCTGCTGCACTTTCCTTTGAGAAAGATTTCCAGAGGAAATTAATTAAAATACTGAGACTTTTAATTTAGGGTACTTTCTAATTAAGCTACCAATATTTAAAGCTTCCGACTTCTGAGACTCACTGTTCATTGCACAGGAGGAGAAGAGAGTAACAATTCATAGTCTTTATAGAGACATATTAAATTAAAAAAAAAAAATCTAGCAGCTTGCAGTTTCATTTCCTTGAAATTAGAAATGCTTGTGTAGCTTAAAAGAAGTAAATCACTGTACTTTGCTATGTTAGACAGCGGCTCTCAGCACATTCCACTGTCCATGGCATGTTTTAAAAAGGCGCGCTCAAGCATATAAATCCTTTGAGATTTTAATTACAGTGATGTAGACTCACTAGAAGTTCTTTAGTTCCATATACTGGGACACTGCATCACATCTAAGGTTTTCATATTCTCACTTACGATAAACTGGTTAATACAAAAAGGATAAAAGCCAAATGGTACTATATATCATTTTCTAATTAGAAGACAGAATTAGATTTTTAATGTCAAAAGGATTACAGGAAAGCACCTAGCTAATAAGCAAAGAGTTAACATGGACTGAATGAGATGAGGACTTAGATCATTACTGCCTGTCCATTGAGTTCCCCTTTACAAGGATGTAAGGGTAGATGGTGAACACCTATGGGATAAATTCCCTAGGAGAAATGGTCCCAACATTAACACTACAAATTTGCCTGTAAGCTTGTTGTGATTAGGTGGGCTTGTCATGAGAAACACTCCAGGCATGCCCTGTTGGAGAAGCATTGCAAATGTGATATCCCCATACCTTTTTAGCAGTTCTACAACCTCCTTGGACCACTGTGTAACACTACTGTAGACATGATAAATGTTCTGTTTGGAAAATTCTCTGCTAACTTCTTATTATTGGTGTACTTTGATCAGGATTCATTTCCTTTAGCCGTAGAGGTCCACGCCGCAGATTCCTATATCTGTATTAAGATTCATAGGCTCCATTTATTACTAGTCAGGAGAAATAAGCACCTTCAGACATGATTCATCTGACCAAAATGAAGCAGTTACTTTAGGATAAGAATAACTGCACCCTAAAGAAGCCCATTTCTCACTGTGTAGGGCAACAATTCTGAGTTAGATAGCTGCATTAAGTAAAATCAATCCTGCCATTTGTATTTTAAAGCAATTTTCCCCCAGCATTCTCTCCCCATTTCAACAACAGAGAACTGAAATTTTACACAATCACAAGGGGAAATTTTAAGTGATAGTATGTTAGAGAATTCACTCTCAAAAGATTTGTTCTAATTTTAAGAGCAGTTCCCAACAGAAGGAAATCACCAATTTGCTCTAATTAATGTGGTTGAACATGTGTACTAAAGTTATCTTCCTCTATTCTCCACCCTCATGTTCAATAACTTGACAGAATACTTCATGCTCTTAGGTGCCTATTTTAATTTGAAACACTCTCTGAATAGCACTTGCAGCTAATTGATTTGCTTTAATTTACTTTCAGCCTGCTATCTAATATTCCAGCTTGGTGTTTTTTAAATTCTGAATGCCTCAGAAGGTCTTTCTGTAAGAAAAGCTTCTCTGAGCTTCTCTAAGGGGTTTTCAAGTCACAGTCCATGGACAAAGACACAATGGGAGGACATGCATCTCCAGTTATGCTAGAGGTGCACAAGGCAGCTCTCATTCCCACTCATTTCCTGACCAAAAATATTTAATCCTTTTGACTAGCAGAAACAAGGAGACACAGTGCTAGTCAGTGCTTCCCCCTTTAAGATTTATAACATGGGTGACTGTTAGGGCCATTTATCTCAAGCTCTGAAATGGTCATTTCCAGACAAGAACATAAGGTGGTCAAAGTGGGAGTTAGCTGACTTTCCCAGTTCCAAATCCATCCTACAAACACAAACCTAGTTATGTTATTTCATCCAGTCACTCAAGCAAGGTATCACTATATTAGAATAAAAGTTAAACAGACATTTCTCCTGTACCAAAAGCTTAAGTCTAGGGATAGGCTTCTCTGACAAGGGGAATAAGTAAACAAATAAAAAGCCAGATTCTGGTTACTTTAATCCTCCACCCACCCTCTACCAAAATAGACAGGCTTACTAAGTGTCAAATACAGAGATAGACCTCATCCTTAGAAAGGAAGCCACCAATGTTAACAGTGCAGCCTACCAACTACTTTTGCTTCACACACATAGTTTGCTTGCTGAGACACTATATGCAATAAGAACAGCATCAGATCCCTTCAGGGCTCACCTGCAAACATCTGGCATGGATAACCTTCCCAGAACAACACTGATGGGGGTCTCTTCTCATAGAGGACAACACTCTCAGACACACACTTTGATTTTTGGGAGGTACTTTCTGGAATCAAGAGCTGGACTTGATGATCCCTGTGAGTCCAGATGAGAATATTCTATGATTCTACATCTACAAAGCCATCTCAAATGGAGAAAGGGCAGATTTCCTAGCAAAGTGCAGGCGTAACACAATGGAAAGCACAAGACAGCAAAGCAGCAAGGTCCCAAACCACAGCAAGTGAGGACCTGCTTAGACATTGCAGCAGTAGGTGTAGAACTAAGAAAAAGAAACTGTTTACCTTCAGAAAACCTATTAAGCCCTCAGGTAGTCAGGAATCTACAGGTGACCTCCTCTCCACTGCCAACCCTTAAATGAGATCTGGGAAGCTGGATCCTGGCTCCATTCCTTCCTGCCACTCAGCTGCATTGCTTGCACCTGAGCTCCCCTGGGTTGGCCCTGCCTTCCCACAAGATGCTCAATCACTACTTCAAGCTGTGACTTAGTATTTCCACTACAACAGGTTAACTTGACAAAGAGGAAAATTTGATCCTTTGAAGATTTTTTTCAGCCACACATTTGTTTCTGGAAAATTAGTTTTCTTAGTAGAGATGATAAGACTTAGAAAGAACTCTTACAAAAAAGTATCCTTCACGGGTACATCCTTAGGTTATGTCTTTTTATGAAAAAGACTTCCAACCCATATCTCTGCACCAAGGACCTTCTTCTATCTTTTTACTATTAAAGAACTCGAGTAGTACTTTCTCCAAAAAAATGTCTTACCTGCTTTTCTTGGAGAAAAATTGACAGTTGTTGACCAGCTGAATAGTTTTTAATGAAGATACTCTGTTCTTATGATCTACTAGAAACTAAGAAAATTATCACAGCCTTATTCAAGGCATGACGAATATTTTCACTTGTCGTATCTGAATTTTTATTCTTAGTAGCTTAAGGCACTTAAACTTAGATGGCCCTTCCTCAGAGGAGACATCTTTTGGCAGGATGATTGGAATGCATCAAGTTCATCATTTCATTTCAATGTACCCCGTGCATCCAAAGTTCCTAAGTACTGGTGCTTTAGGAAAGCAGACATTTTCTAGCTGTCTGAACAAATGGCGGGGCAGAAAAGTGCTTACCCCTCAACCCTAGCTTACACATTCAAAAAAATCACTTATATAGATCCATCTACAGTTCCATATCTGAGTGAAATCATAAACTCCAAGATGACAAACAGTGTGCCCTGGTGGCCAAGAAGACCAATGGCATCCTGGCTTGTATCAGGAATGGTGTGGTGAACAGGACTAGGGAAGTCATCCTGCCCCTGTACTTCGCATTGGTGAGGCCTCACCTCGAGAACTGTGTTCAGTTTTGGATACCTCAGTACACAAAGGACATTGAGATGCTGGAGCAGGTCCAAAGAAGGGCAACAAGGCTTGTGAAGGGCTTAGAGAATGTGCCCTATGAGGAGAGACTGAAGGAGCTGGGGCTGTTTAGTCTGGGGAAAAGGAGGCTGAGGGGAGAACTTATGTTCTCTTTAAATACCTGAAAGGTGATTGCAGCAAGAACAGGGTTGGTCTCTTCTCACTGGTAACAGGATGAGGGGAAATATCCTCAAGTTAGGAAAGGGTAAGTTTAATTTGGATAACAGGAAAAACTTCTTTATAGAAAGGGTTGTTAAGCACTGGAATAGGATTCCAGGGAGGTGGTTGAGTCACCATCCCTGGATGTGTTTAAAAACCCTTTGGATGTGGTGCTCAGAGACATGATTTAGCAGAGGGTTGTTAGAGTTAGGTCAGTGTGGTTAGGTTGTAGTTGGACTTGATGATCTTTAAGGTCTTCTTCAACCTGAGCATTTCCTACTATTCTGTGATTAAAAACAGTAAGTTCTTAGTATCATTCTGAATGGTAAATTCCTTATCTTTAAGAGTTTTTCAGTAACCTTAATGCCCATTACTCTTTCATTCAGTTCTACAGGTTTAATATCACAGAGTATTCCCCCTTACATTCATAGGGCAAGCATTGTGTTTTTTCCATTAAAAGAAGTCCTCAAGAAATCCAAATAAGAGCTAACAGGGACATCTGTAACATTTCAGCACATTTAGGCTGGGCTTCTACCTTGTGCTTCAGAAAAACTGTGGGGGAAAAAAAAAAAGAGAAAAAAAAGAAAGCCAAAACCTTTCTACCTGGGAAATGCATCAGGAATGATTTGCTGCTGAGCTTTCTGCTGCAGAATTAATGGACAGTGCTCATCGCTCAGACTCCTTGAAGGCTGTACAGCAATTGGCAACAGTGAGTCAGTTACCTTTCCTGTGCCTATTGGTATGGATGGGGATAGAAAGCCAGATGGGAGCATTTGGTCAAATTGCATAGAAAGACACCCTAAAAACTGTATGAAACAGAATTTTGAGGTCTTGTCTCGCCCATACAGACAGAGGGACCCAGAACTACAAATGTAGCAGTAGAGAAAAAAACAACTACTTAGTTTGCCTTGAGCAAACATTTTGTACACTGCTGTTGAATTAAAGCAAAAGACAAAAAACTTGGCTTTAACTTCAGCAGCTTCTGGCAGGGGAGTTGGGAGGGTGAAATTTCAGCTTCTTAACTGCTAGTATTATAAAAAATCTGAAAAGTTACTTTAAAAAAAATAATAATCCAAAATATCATGTGCTATTGATAATCCAGATGATCAAATGCATAAGAAATCTGGATAATTGAACATGTGTACATGTATGATTTTTCCATTGCCACTCACTATTATTACTACCGTAATTCTATGCACTGAAGGAAGGGCTACACTCCTTGTATAGAAAAGGTTCATTTCATTAACATCATATCCAAAAGTGGGAAAATTGCAGTAGTGCCTAGAGAAACAGAGGTATCATTAAGACTGAATATACAATCAAACAGAAGTATAGCTCCTGACATAGTGTTTGCAATACAGCAGATGAGGGAAATGCTATTAAATGACAGTTCTGCTAAATCTCTACAATTTGAGATACTTAAGTATAACTTATTTCCCAAGAGCAAGGTTGATAGTCCATTGCTCTAAATAATTAACCAACACTAAGTGTCCTTTAAAAATATGCAGGAAGTCAATTGGGTGTTGAAAGTCTCTCAAGAAATTGGTGGATGAGGTTCTTTATCCTGTTTCATGCAGTCTGAGACACTTTTATGAGCTTTATTCTGGTCATAAACAGAGCTTTAGGAGAAATAAGCAGTTGATTCTATGCCTTTAGGCTGAAGTTAATAAATATAGGCAGTCTTGATTGTCTTTGCAAAAAACTCGCCTATATATGACTACAGCAATAGCACTAGAAGCTTCTTTATAGGTGGTAAAACAGAACTTTTAAGCCACACAAAACTAGGTCCAGGAGGAGGTATTTGGATTCCTCAGGCCCTACCAACCGAATCATTAATTCTCTAGTGTCTGGAGCATACATATAGGAATATAAATATCACAATTGAAGAGGACACAGGATCTGAATGTGTCTTTAATGTTATGATCAAACGGTCTTAAAGGGCAGTAGACTCTTAAATGAAAAGCAAATTCTTGAAACAGCAAGAATGGCACGGACTGACATTTTTACTACAGTCAGAAGTTCCTATGCTCATCAGTCTCTTTTTTTGATAGATGAATGATCCAAATATTGCTTCTCTCAGGAGCCCCAAGCAACATTTGTGACAACCTTAAAGGCAGTTACTTTTAAGTCTATCTGCTCAGATACTACACATCAAAATGCTTAATAGAACAGCTTAAGCTTTTCAAAGGCAATTGCCTCTTATGTAAAAACAGTGAAAGGTGTGTCACAGAACTGCTTTTAAATCACAAGTGCAGCAATCATGATCCATGGTAAGTCGAGAATATTAAAAAGATATATTCCTGTATGCAAGTCATCATAATTTTTACTACTATTTTTAGTATGAATCTGCAATGCAGCCAATACATGCAGATGAAGAAGCCTGAAAAAAAATAATTGCTATTATTATTCTTACACGGTGAAAGTGAAACATTTAGTTGCAGTCAAAAAAACTAATGCTTCAGTTCCAGACTGGAAAATAGCTGTCGTGCTATGGAATTGAGCAAATAACAAGGCCCCTGCCACTGTTTTCCTAAATAGATATCTCTTCTCAACAATTACACCACAGATTTTGTTACCACAATACATTCAGGGACACAGCTGAGCTTCCTTCTAAGGCATACTTCTTACCCACACAAAAATTCAAGAGAGCACGCTCTCAGTAGATGAATAAAAGGTCACAAGTACCTCTTCCCTGCTCTTACATGTCAGCAAAAGGAAAATCTCCAAGACATCAACCCCTTGTATTTTGAAGGCTGGTCAATACCCTTCTCCTAGATATTCTGCAGTAACTGTCATAGCAGCAAAAGATATCTAATGACATTTTGCTGGGGGGAAAAAAGAAAAGCGAACAGCATTGCACTAATAAGAAACAATCACTTATTTCCTTAATAGCTTTTAAGGCTAACAGACCCTAACTCTTGGCTTAGCATGTGTTCAGCCAGGCAGGGAAAAACATGTCTAATACTGTCCATGGCACAGGGCAAGAAGCCTCAGCTGGAATGCATTTATTTTACTGGGTGGAAGCAAATCTCTGGGGAAGAAGAGCTTAGGAACATTTAACTAATTCTCAAAATGCCTGCTATATCTGAGGAATAAAATCTGTTTGCCAATGACAGATTTAGCTGTCCCACCAGGAGGGGACGAGAGGAGAAAACAGAAGGATAACTTGCTTCCTCAATGCAGTGCTGCTAATCGCAATCCCCTGAAGCTCCAGCTATTCACCTCAGGTTTGTCACAGAGAGCAAAACTTGTAATAGTAACTCATCTTTTCAAGGTTATCTAAAGCAATGTGTAAGCTTTTGTCTGTGCTAACATAACATCTTTAAACTCTGAGCATCCTTCTGAGGGTCATTAAAGACATTCCACACCACAACAGCTGAGAAACCTCTGATGAAATTAAATGGCTCCAATTGAACTGGCCCACTGTCAGATCAGAGACAGAACAACTACAGTCTATAACAAGTCATTTGAACAAGATACTTCTCAGCCTAAGCATATTTTATTCCTTACTTCAATACATCAACTCAAGGGCCATTAAAAAGCTGAAAGCTGAAAGTTTTCAGTATAGCTGTGAAGCACAAGTTTGGTGCGTCCTTTTTACATATAGAGAAAATTAAGTCATTTGTCCCAGATCTCCTGGCCTTTTTGCAGCCCTGAAGTAACAGAAGGGACCCTGTGTGACACTGCCCTGCCCCAACACCTAACTGGGAACTTTCTAAGACAGTTTTGCCACAGATATCAACTTAT